CCTTTATTTAGATATCATTTATTCATCCAGCTAAGAAAACAGTGTCACTGCAGCAGCTCGCTGAAGGATGGAGCCGTGAAATGACGGAGCAAACAATATAACTGACAATATCAGCACTGAACCAGATTATATGACCAAATGAAGTAAATAAAAGTAGGAACTAAAAAATTTAAGAAAGAACATTTACAGTATTAAGTATAGTGAAGTATGCATATTTGCAATATTTCTAGCACAAAGGAAGTTAGTTGTATTTATCAAATGAAGAACATGAGTGCTTCAGCAGGACAATAAAAAGATTTCTTAAGAGTTCCCATTTATAAATGCACCTTTTTTTTTTTTCCAGGGATGGAAAAAAGAGAGGATTCTGGGAGAGTATCCTGATGGCAAGATCATTCTTGTCCTGCCAGATGATCCCAAATATGCTCTGAAGAAGGTACAGTATATTCACAGGGACTAACCTTAAGTAGAAAGACCAAAAAAATACAAGATTATTGTTTCTTTGTTCCTCATAAGCTGCATCCACACATTTCTTCACCACACAGTATCTGTTTGTGTCTCAGGTGGAGGAGATCAGGGAGATGGTGGACAACGACCTCGGCTTCCAGCAGGTGGAGACCAAGTGTCCCTCTCAGACCAAGACCTTCCTCTTCATCACCAATGACAAGAAAGTGGGTGGATGCCTTATTGCAGAGCACATACAAGAGGTAAGAGACTGCAGTCTTCAGGAATGGTTTAACACACTTTGATGTACGTTTATTATGTAAAAACATGAACAGACTGAATTAGTTTGAGTAAGCTGAGCCTTGTGAATGCTCACAGGGCTACAGGGTGATTGAGGAGCCAGTGCCAGAGGGTTCAGAGGGAGAGAAGGTGATGTTTGAACGCCAGAGAGCTTGGTGCTGCTCCACAACACCGGAGCCAGCCATCTGTGGCATCAGCCGCATCTGGGTGGTCAACATGATGAGACGCCAGGGCATCGCCTCACGTATGCTCGAATGCCTCAGGTCAGTTCATCTTCAGACCTGCCAAGTTTTCATGTCACATCCCCTTAAAACAAATGGACATAATTCTAACTTGTTTTTGTTTTCCTTGCACAGGAACAACTTCATATACGGTTCATACCTGAGCAAAGACGAGATCGCTTTCTCCGACCCCACTCCTGATGGAAAACTCTTTGCCACACATTACTTTGGCACTTCTCAGTTTTTGGTTTATAACTTTGTGAGTGGAACACGCTCGTCCCCACCAAAAACTGACGCAGTATGACAGTCTTCGGGAAAGACAACAGTGGATATAACTGAGACACTCACTGGCCAACGGGACGCACCATCACTTAATGGTCTTGCAGAATCCGTGTTTGCATAACGATTTAAAAAAACAAACTGTAAATTATTCCTTGGAGAGGACACACATTGGTTTTAAATCTCAGGATGAAAACAACAAGGTGTTGTTGAAAAATGTTATTAATTCACCCTTTAATCCTTCCCTGAATAGTATTTTGAAAAAAAAAAGTATTTTCTTTATACATTTTTAAGTAAACAATTGGTTTTATTAGAAGTATAGAGTTTACATGCATGACCTGACAGCAATAGGAAACAAGGAGCATTTCATTGGGTTTTAAAGTCGGCCGGCTGCATTGAATAAAATTATTTTAGAGTGTTTTTTACTCACACAGTGTAGTGAAGGATATGTACACTGAGGAGTTTTACATGTTCACCTCTTAACAGTTAAAGTGATGCTGCTGTTTCTCGAGTTGTCTTTTAAGCAGCATTGATGACACTTAAAGGTCACAGTTTCTACTGGGCGGTTGAATATTTCCGCATCGGTCCCCCTGACTTCACTGTCATGTTTTATTGTAACATTTCAAACTGATCATCCAAACTAGAGGATGTAACCGGAGGGACTCATTTCAACGATGGCGTTGAAGAGGTGTGGGTTAGAACTGTAGCTCGGGCATTAATCGCGTGCTCTGATTTTCTGAGATCGCCCTGTCTGAAACGTTTAGTTTTCCAAGCTGAGCCATAAACTGTTCACCGTTTAGCAGGGCATTGTAGCCTTTACTGTATGAGTGATGTCTTTTAATTTCACAGAGGCTGTCTATTGCTTTGTTTGTGCCTGAATGAACGCCGTGTGACTTAAGATGTTGATTTGTTTTGTTTTTTATGGCTTTTTATTGAGTTAGTGTAGAGTATCATCCTCCTATTCCTTAGTAACAACAAATTAAAATGTATATCAAATTATCATGTAGAGTTATGCATACTATAACAACATTTATAATGATGAGCAAGGTCTTAAGGCTCAGGTATTAAATGGTATTTGAGTGATGGTAAATGTCATCCAGGTTCAAACAGGAATATTTGCTCAGTGATCAGCATGAGGGGTTGAGATGAACCTCTGCCTCTCTCAACACAGATTTACAGTATCATCATACTACATCCCTTATTTTCTCCTTCCCTCTTGGTAAAGCAGTTGCTTTTAGAAAGATGTGTCGTGTAAGAAAAATAAATTTGATTTATACGAAGCCGTTATGTAAATATTTATTTAAATAATAAACGATTTAAAACAGTTTGGCTTGCTCTGTTTTCTTCTGCAGGTAAGCGTGGGATTTTGTGCTCTCTCAGCTTTCAGGTAAATTACATCTGACCCCTCAACTCCTGTTGACCCTCTTCAGTCTCATAGTGTTGTGCTGGTCACGAATGCCATCTAGTGGACGTTGCTGCAAACATGTCCTTGTCAGTGATATTTAAGGTGAGCCACCCCAGATGATAACACTGTTTTTTTATGCACTACATCAGTTTTGAGATCTTGCTTCCATAACACTTCCAGAAAACTTATGATACAGAAAATAATAGTCTTAATGTAAGTAATCAGCTAGGGAAGTTTTATGGTGATATCTATGAACATTTTATCCTGTTTAGCTGTGGTGTCTTGTGTATTTTTTTAATTATTTTTTTTAATGTATGGAATTTTTCTGATACACATATTTAAAGTCCATTTCCTGAGAACAAGTTTTTTCTCACACCCTGAGCCAAAAATCTCCACCTCACTCGCGCTTACATACACCGAACTTAAAATACAACACTTTTGTTTTTGCCACCATTTTTCAGAGGTTTAAAACATCAAAGACTTTTTTTTTGCTCTCTAGGTATGTATTTATTTTGGTGTCATTTTTTAAAAATAAAAATCCGCACATTTTAGTGTCCTTATATCGTGACCACCCAAAGGCACACCTGTGTAGTACTGATGCTTTTTAATCAGCATGCTGATATGCTGCACCTGTCAGGTGGATGGATTATACTGGAAATGGAGAAGTGCTCACTAACACAGAATTTTAAAATTTCTGATCGAAATTTAAGATTTCGCTATTCATTGCATATAAAGTCTTAGATCTTTAACTTAAACCTGTGTGAAGTGAGAGCAAATCCAAAAGTGGTGCATTTAGATTTTTGTTCAGTGTATATTTTGATGCTTTTTTTTTTTTACAGAAGGGTTTGCTCATACATCATTCATTCATTCATAGCCTGATTTATAGAACATTTTATTCCTAAAAACATGGTGAAAATTAAATTTTTTTTCATGGCTGTTTTCTTTTGTGTGGAGTGATAAGAAGAGATGAACAAAATCCTCCCTGTAAAGACCTTTGACTTTAATGTGTCAACAAGATGAAATAAGGATTTTTAGCCTTTATCCAATGTTCAGATTTCTGATCTGGGAGCATATGCAAATCAGTGCATATTCAACTAGGGGGGCAGAGGCTACACGTCCCTCTCCCTTACCCCCAGTAAAACCATGAAAGTAGCGGAGGACTTTTATTTTGATTAAACTGAAGACACTTACATCAACTGATGCAGAAAAGGAAAAAGAGAAGCAACTGGTGCGTAAAAATTCAGGCAGATTACAGGAAATTAAGTATCTGAAACTCAAAATTTTCTAGTGGAGGACCCCCAGACCTCCCTTTATATGTCCCCCCCAAATGTTGAAACAAAACCTACGCACTTGCTCATTTGCATATTTAGACATAGCACTTCAGAAAAATTGTAAATACAATAATTAAAAGATTTAACTAAGCATCATTTTTATGTTAAATCATTCATTATCACCAGAATGACAACATAATGAGCTGTTTTTTATGCCACATATACACACATTTGAGATACGTTTCAAATGGCTGTCATGTTTTCTCTCTGTAGATGCAGATGTAAACACTCCCCTCTTAGTGCATTCCTCGACACTCCTGTCACAACACGGGCCAGCTCGATGGCAACTTCTGAGAAACAAAACAACCTTAGAACAACATGGATACTTCCTCAGGCCCAGAGTAAGAAAACAGAGGTCTCCGCTCCTCCTTGAAGATCTGATACTGATCAGCAGGGGAAAACAACCCGAGCTGAGCTTCCTAAGGTATCTTTAACACCACAGTCACCTTGGCCTGCTGACTTTCACTGACACTAGGATCATCTCTACCATCTGATTATCAACGGTATTATAGTGAAGTAAAACTGAAAACTGAAAGTAGGAAACATTTTCGTTCACTGAAATAAAAATGAAAATGACTTTATAGGTAAAAACTAAAAAGATATTGTGTACTTACAAAACTAACTATACTAACTAAATGTCTTAAGTTTTGGTCTGTTAATTAGGTCAAACTTGTCAATACAACAAGCATGAGGAAGCATTGGTGCATATGTGAGTCAATGGTCAATTCACTAAGTGCTGTGTTTGTATTGTAATACCTGTTCTGAACTTCTTAAATTTTGTGCCTGACAAATACCCCTATAATGTAATTTTAAAAAAGTAAAGCCGACACTGAAACTAATAAAAACTAAACTATAATGAGCAAACTCACTCTGGAAATTAACTAAAACTAAATTTAATTGAAAACAAAAAATTAAAAACACAATCAAAAACTAATAAAAAAAACAAAACTGTAATATTTTTGTAAAATTAGTGATTTAGTTTGGAAAAAAAAAGGTCATCACAAAATAGAAGAGGAAACGCAGTATTTGTAAACACACAATTTTATTCTGACACATCAATTTAAAGAGACAAAAATGTCACAGCTGCCACATTGAAACCAAAAAACCATTTATCCTAATTATAAAGTTCAGGTTATTTTAAATATGTTAAGCTATGGTTAGTGAAAATCATTAATGTCTTATTTACACTTTAGAGAATCACCATACAAAACACCATTAAATCAATTCCTACAATCTGCACACAGCCTGTCATTCAGGTTTCTTTTTTCAGCACGTTTTTGACCTGAACTTCATCCCAAACCTGAGCTGCAACAACAAACTGACCCGTTCACTCAGTGCAGTGCAGATTGGCCTTGTTGCCTGACATCTGTGGGGACTTGATCTGTTTTAAGAGTTTTAAAATAAGATTACAGTAATGCTCTGGGTACTTGATCTGTTGACAGGCAACCTATAAGAAGATAAGAGCTGCTCTGGAGTGTGCGTGGCAAATACACAATCACGATGTTATGAAAAAACATTCACAAACTTCACATTAAACAAGGAGCATAATCTGACAAAGTGATCACAAGCTCTTGACATTCATGGTAAAATATGAAGGTTGAATCCACTGGCTTGTAACACATTCGGTAGTTGGCTCAAATGAGTTGACATATGATTGTGTATTATGCCAAGGTTATGGCAACATCAAAGTGTAGGCACCAACAACAAGCAATGTACACTTATTTAGATGAAAAAAGTCCTTGTCTTGATTGTGTGTTAAAAAGCTAAAATGTCCTCACAGGATGGGACAATTCTGCCCACAAAAATCATACAGTATGTCCAACATATCAGGTTCCTGAATCCTCCTGCTCATGACACCCTGACCTTTCCTGGGCTGTACAACTACAGCCTCGCCATCAGGTGGAGGCTCTACCAGCGGGTGCACTTTGTTATCCATCATCTTAAAGTCACTAACACCAACTCCGGGTAGCGTGCCGTTCCTCTCTGCCCACGTTTTGGTGTCCTCTGAAATGTCCTTTGTATCCATGATACTGTCACCATTCGCACTGCTCTTGCTAACCGTGCTCGCCTCGTCCTGACATGCGTCTGAATCACCTCTAGAATTGGGCAACGAGAAGTAGGTGCACTTCCTGGAAAGTGACGACTTCTTGTCTTCCACTTCAGACTTTGTGCTGAAAAGGGAATATGGGGTGTCCTCCTCTGTGTCCTCACACATTCCTTGAGAAGAGCTTGTGAAGGTTTTGTTGATACCAACTGGGTCTGAAGCAGACTTTCTGATCAGTGTGTTGTCTCTAAGGAGCCACTGTTCATGATCAATAGGGACGCCGTCTCCAGGCCCAACTTGTGCATTAAAAGCAATGCAACGTGCTGCTTCACTTAAGGTGTCCATTGCATTAGTGGAATTAAAGTAAGACAACTCAGACATTGCTTTGGACCCGGCTATGTGGAAGGGAGAGAAAATGCTTGATGGCTCTTTCTTTTTCTGTTTTGGCGCAGATGGCGGCCTTTCACTCACTTCCTCATCAGGATCTCTTTTGCCATAAAGTCTTTCGATCGTTCTTCTCACGAAGCCTTTAGTGATGGATTTCCGTGCTGAATCATCCTCGCCGCTGGACAGTTCACTTGATGTTTGAGACTGATACCCACCACTAGCTGAGGTCTGTGCTCTTAACTCTGATCTTTTCGGGCTCTGGAAACGTCCATGCCCATGCTGAATATCTGTGGCACTCTTTGCCAGGAACATTTCCCTGATGTTTCTGACCCTGCTGCCTTCAGGCTCTGTGGTTATAACCCCGCTGGAATCATAGCTGAAAGATAAGGACGACTGAGGAGGCAAACGAGCGCAGGGAGCCGACTGAGATGTGGGTGATTCAGAGGGTGAATCTTCGACATCTGACTCAAGAGGGGCATTTCTTTGTGAGGATCGTCTGATGGCAGAACTTTCTGTTGTCTTCTGGGCATCAGCAGCTTGTTTTTCCAGAAGAATTACTCTCTCTGCCACAGATTGGGATATTATTTCTTCGGAGTTATGCTTGAGTTTTTTCACAGCCTTTTCATATTTTGCATCTTCAGACTGTGCTGCTAGTGCAGGAGCTTCCTGGTATTCTGCACCACTCTCTTCTATATATCTCCCCATATTGGCATGTTCCTCCTCTGAGCTGAACTCCTTTTCATCATAGCTTAATTCTTCTTCATTTGAGCTGCTGATCTGTTCATCTTTGACCATTGGTAACTCTAGCTCTACATGCTCGTCACAGCTGCTGTGGTCATTCCCACTATCCTCTTCTGTATTCATTAAACTGTCAGACTTTTTGGGATATGAATCCTGATTCTCGATCAAATTGCTTAGATCCCCTTCTACAGGACTTTTTGTCTTATCACAAATTTGTGTTTTGTCAACATGGTAGTCCTCATCATCTGAGCTGACCTTCTCTTCCTCTGTCTCTTCTATCAAAGCCTTTAACTCTCTACATTTTGGTATTTGTTCCCTGTGATCCAGAGGATTGCCAAGGTGTTCTTCCTCCTCTTCCTCCAAGCCAGATGAACTTTCCTCAATTATAACATTTAGTCCCTTACATTCAACCTCAGGCTGCTCTTCCCCTGAAGACGGATCATCCACATCTGAGTTACACGTGCTTTCATCAACACTGACATTCGGTCCCATAGAGCCTACCTCACATTCAACCTTTTGCTGCTCTTCCTCTGACAAAGAGTTGTTTTGGCTATCTGGGCTGGATATTCTTTCCTTTGCATTCAGTTCTACATAGTAATCAGAGCTTTGTAGCTTTTCCTCTTCTTCCTCAGAGTGACTTTCACGGTTGGACAAGTTGTCACTTCCCCTGCTCTCCTTTTGTAGCTCCTCCCATTCAGCTTCTGGTTCATCCTCTGAACTATGTCGCTCACCTGACTCTGAGCTGGATACCCTTTGCTCACAGGTCATATTCTGCTCTAAATCTTTAGTGGCACTTGACATGTTCTGCCCTTCCTCATCTGAACCTGACTCATCACCAAGGGTAAGCTCATTCTCAGGGATGCTCTCCTCACCATGCATGGGAAGCTGATTACCTTCCATGTCTTCCTCCTCTACCTCCGAGGTACAACTGTCTTGTTCAAGACTTTTCGTGCAGCTGACTGCTTCATTCATGGTAGCCTTTTCATGGCTTGTTTTGATTTCATCGTGGCTTTGCTGCCCGTTGTCTTTTACAAAAAACACTGTACTGTCAGGTTGCCTTTCTTCAGGTATCTGTCTATCAAGTTCAGCTGATGGACATTTGGCCGAATCTTTCTGCCCATATAGGCTATCCTTGTCTTTAGTGTCTCTAGTTATACTACCTGTGCTGGATTGTTTTGGTTGGGCAATGTCTGTGAATTTTTTAATGATGGAGCTCACGTCAACATTAGCTTCTTCATCTTGAGTAACACCCCTGACATTAACAGCATCTTCTGTGGAGAAAGTGGATTCCTTCGCATTACTGTTATCTTTTGCTTCCACTTTTTTGATTGTCCTTGCAGGCGTCTCTTCTTCATCATCACTATCACATACAACACCCACTGAAAGAGAGGCCAATTCCTCCTTGAGCTCCTCAGGTATGTCAAGACTATCCATGAGCTCATCAGTGACATTTTCATCAATGCTACAGTCTTTTTCAGGACCACCCTCAGTCTCGACTTCTTGCTCTGAACCATTTGGTGTTGAGCTGCGACTCTTGCATTTGTCACCAAGTTCCTGAAAACCCTTCCAACTTTGCAGGAGCTGCTTCGAAGCAGACTGCTGCAAATTGGACAAACTAGCCTTCAACTTCTGGGAATCCTCCATGCTGGCAATTTCTCTTAGAGAGTCAATCATTCTTAAAGCCTCGGCACATCTGACATTGTTTGCATTCAGCTCATCCATGTTCAAGCTAGACATGCCTTCCTTTAGGGTCATGACAGACAAGAAAGCAAGAAGAGCTTTAGATGATGAGCCGAACGTAGAGGCCACATGAGAGGAGAAGTCCGGCAGGCTGTTGGACTTTTCCAGACATAACGGTCGTTTGTTCTGGGTGATTTGTCTGATTGACTTTATTGAGTAGCAAATCTTATCAAGGACAAGTTTCATGTTTGGCTGATTTGAGGTGTTTAATGGCTGTGGAATTATTTGAGTTATAGATTTCTCTTGATCTGCTCTTAAAAGGTCATCTGTCCCTGTATTGTCATCACTCTGATCAACTTCTAATGGCATGAGAGGGTTGGAAATTGGTGTTTTGTCCAGTTCAGATGTTGGTTTTGTTGACTGTGGTGTTTGGTGATGCTTCTTTAGGGATGATTTCCTTTGTATTTGTTCCTTTGCATTGTCTGAGGAGAGATTTCTGGAGAGCAACTTTCCACTTGACTTATGTCTGATGGGTGGTGACACCATGTCCAGAGACTGAGAATATGGAGATGGCCTCTTTTGCATTCTAGATTTATAAAGCTTTCTCTCAGTGGAGGGGCTAGCAATTGGTGTTGGCTGTCTTCGTATTCCTATATTTGGTGACCTAGTTTTATCTGGAGGGTGGTTATGTAATGCTTTTGGAGAGTTTTGAGGAAGCTCAGAAGAGAATTTTTTGGTTTGGGATTTTCTCTCCATAGATGGACTGCTAAAAGGTTTTTTCACCAAGGGTTTCGGTGATGATGTGTCTTTTTGTGTTAAAAATTGTGTTTTTGTCTCTTTAAATGGAAGATCACTCAGTGCTGGAGCCTCACTTGATAAAGTACTGGCTGGTGACATCCTCTCTTCAGTTGTTAAACTAGCCGGAGATACAGAACATGACGGACTACTTTTCAAATCTAACATGCTGTTTGATTGGTGTGTCTCTTCTGGTGAGGTTTCACTTGGCCGTTGTATCCCCGTGGAGCAGACGCCATTTGGCAGCACATTATCACCCACTATGTTGATGGGCGTAGATGATGTCTCTGAAGTGGCATCGCTACATAAAGTATATTTATCTAGACAAGCCTTTCTGAGAGACATTTTCCTGTCAAGAGATGTATTACTAACCAAAGGGGCCCTTTTAATGGATGGAGTTCTTTGTAATGGTGCTTCTCTCTGCGTGGGAGGAACGTCAGTCTGAATTGATGTTGTTGTTTGCATTGTGTGGTCAGTTGGTGATATGGCCTTGTCAGATGCAGGACTGATGGATAATGGATGATTATCTGACAGCTGACTGCTCACTGATGAAAGCCTGTATAGTGGGCTGCTGGCCACTGAGGATGCATCCATCTCACCATATTCAGCGCCTGACAGCTCAGTATTTTCAGCAGGGGGTGGTGGTGGTAGCTCCATGGAAAGCGTACTGGAAGGTGTTGCTTTTTTAAATGCGATTTTGACTGGACTTTCTACTTCACTGTCTGGTGGCATTTTTGTTGACATCTCATTAGTTGGTGGAATTATTTCAGAGCTGTTATGATCCGAGAGAGGCTTAATTTCTTTAATATTTTTCTGAGCCAAACTGTTGTAGTTTTCTGTTTGCTGATTGACTGTGGTTTTTGCCACTGATGGACTTGATGATTTATTTTCAAAGGACTTGATTCTTTGCTTGACAGAAGCTCCTCGCACATGCTCAGGCAGTCGATCAGTTTTGAGAGTTTGTATTTCTGATGTCTCCTCCAAATGCTTTACCTCATCTGCCACAGTTAAACCATTCTTATTTTCAGACTCCCCGCACCTGTTTTCTGTTTGTTCAAGTACTTCTAATATTTTACTTTCCTGATCTGGGTAGGCTGTGGGGTTAAGATGGGCTTTCTCCAGCCAGTTCTCCACATATTCATTAGTAACAGAGCTGGCAGAGTTAAAAGCAGGCAGTGACATGCTTTCACTGACATCATAGGACCCGTTTTCGTTCTTTTTCTCCTGATGCACTGATGTCTGCCGTGTCAGTATTCCCCGTGGCTGGCTTACTTCATTGGGAGCAACGTTCAGGCTGCTTTTTTCAAAAGAAACTGTCTCATTCATGGCTTCTGTCGATGCTGATGGCATGTTTGGATCTGTGAGAATACATTTTATTGTGTCATCTGAGTCTTGTGAGCTCTTTGTTGCAACGCCCCCGTCTCCTTTTTGCATTGGTCCCTTTTTAAGCTTCATCATGCTTTTTGCTGATTTTGATTTATTCCCATAAATTTTCCTAATGAAGCCAGCACTGGAGAAAGTTTTTGCTTTCTTACTTTTCTCTGTTGCAGCTGCAGAATTTTCTTTTTGTCTCTTCCCTGGTGACATTAGACGGCGAACACGTTTGTTGATCGCTTTGGGTTTTGAGGACACCTTCCTATCTTTATTGACCTCTCTTTGTTGAGGCTTACCTTTGCCTTTAGTTGGCTTTTGGTATGGTTGCCGAGCATTTGTTGCTTGAGTCCTCAGTGAAGGCAAGGTTAAATCAGATGTTACTGACATGCTCTCAGCTCTCCAGATGCTAATTGACTCTGAAGCTGTCGATGGTCTCCAGAGCTGAGGTTCAAACTCATTATTAGAGGAGAGCTGTCCAGTTTCTGAAGTAGCTGGCCTGCAGAAAGGAATCCCAGCAGCAGCCTGTGCACAAACATTTGCAAAGAAATTCTCCTGGCAGGTCTGCTGTTCATATATGTGGAAGACAGTTTCAGTTGCCTCCTCTCTGCTGGAATCAGTCTGTAGGAATTCAGTCATCCCTGCTGATTTGAACGTGGATACATTTCTACTGTTAATATTGCTTGCATCTACAGAGCCAAGTCTTCTAGGTTTGGGCACTGGTCTGCTCTGTTTGACCATGCAGTACTGCTCAGTCATGGCTCCATTTCCTGTCTGCTCCCTGTAGGAGTAAGAACCGATCATACCCTCCTGAATCCCATTTGCCGTCACTGATGTTATGCTTTCCACAGAGGCTTGCTTTTTTCTAATTTGTTTGTGCCCTGGTGTAGGAGCTCTCCGAGGGGACATCACTTCCGTCTGTTCTTTGATATCATCGCCCTCATTACCACTTTCACTGAAAGTGCCATTGCTCAGCGATGGTGGATCCTCATCATTATTATCCTGAGTTTTGTCCCGGTTGATGGTGTCAATAGAGGAGGCAGGACTTTGTAAATCCAGTGAATTTGATTTTAGTGAGCTGATCTCCTGCTCTGCCTCAGGCTCTGGTAAACTGGCTGCATTTAGCTGATTGGCAACACTTGAGCGTGACAGAGTGGTCGTCCAGTGGATGGTTTCCTCTTCCTTGATTGTCAGCCGCACCTTCATCTCCACTGTCATGCTGCCATCTTGGTTCACTCGAAAGGACTTTTCAATGTCATCATCTGTGGGCAGCAAGCTTCCCTGTCCTTCAGATCCAACACCAAGGCAAGTGTCAGGTGTTTCTGGTACTGACTCCAGCATACGACCCGACTCCAGCTCGACGGAGTGACTGGGTAGGTCACATGAACTTTCTGCGATGGAGTCATGGATCCGATTCATGATGTACATCTCTGATGAGGGGGAGAAATTTCTTGACTTTGAAGTGTATAATAGTGGCTTCTTTTTACCTTTTAGGTTAATCAAAAAAAGCCAAATGGGTGCAAAAAAGATTTGTGTTGAAAAATGAAGTAGAAATGTCCAAAGATTCCAGGCAAGGATTGAAGAGGGAAGGCAGGTGGTTTGAAGAGGAAACCCAAGAAGCATGAAAGGAGAATAAAGAGAGAAAAGAAAAGTTAGAAACATAGTAGAACTATTCACAGCTCATGAAGAACAATAGCCGGCAGCTATGTAGACAGCGTATGTAGGTCATCCACAGTATTACGCATAATATCATTGCCTCAGCACTTTCTCAATCTTCATCCCATGAGAGCAGGTAGATTACTGCTCACACCTCTATGTGTCCATCAATGAGAATAAATGTCATACTAAATTAAACAAAATGACTGCATACAGATCGCCCCCCAAAACAACAGATTTTTATGTAAACTTACGTTTTAATCTCCTGTGAACCATTCCTTTGGTAGGCAGCATTGTTGGAGCTGGTGATTTCTGTGCATTGTAGTTTGCATGCCTGAATGGCTCCCTGCCTGCAGCCACTACAGTCCCAGAGCACAGTATCAGGCCTGGAAGACTGTCCACCTGCAGCAGACAGAAACATTTGTCACTCTAATGGCATTTGTCCAAGTTAGCATTAGGTACAAAAGGTAGAACAGAAAAAACTTGAGTCTAGATATATGTATGTTTGTAATTGCAGAGTACAAATATGTATATGTAGGGCAGGTTTAAAGGTATACTATGCAGGACTTTAAAAAAATAAATCAACGTATAGACTCATACAAATTTAATCCCTCTAGATCATCAGTTTTTGACCAAAAAGAAGTGTGTGTTTATGTACTTTTGAGCAGAGACTCCTCCCTCTACCTGTATTTTCTCCTTATTTTATGTGTCCAGGACATATATATGGGTGTGTAACCCAACAGGGTGCAGGTGAGGTCAGAGATTTATAAAAAGTAGCAGCCAGGTGCCAGACTGTAAATAGCACGCAATCCAAGAGACCCAGCACCAAAAAGAAGAAAATATAACGAGGCGACATGCCAACTGAGAGAGAATCTAGGGTTGGCTTTTACTTCCACTTTCGCTTGTGAGTGTGTTTACAAACAGTAACCCACAATCCTGCACAGTATACCTATAAATTAAATGAATTGTTTGTTGAAATGTCACCTTGCCAATACCAGCAGGCTTTGAATTTACAACAGATCCTTGACCTAAAGCCTTTCAGGGCAGTATCCCAGAATGCCTTTCTGCGTATTAGGGTGAGTTGGTAAAGAGGATTAAAACTTTCTCTCCTCATGTGACGGTTATTTACAGGCCAGGTTCAAGCCAGTCCTCTATGGGACAAGAATGGTGATGCCAAAACCTAAAACATACATATTTGAGTTATATTTCAACAGACTATTTTTTTTAAGTAATTTAATTTCTAACAGTCTAATTTCTTTAGTATTTCTTAGTTCACACAATTTACAAGGTAATTGGCAGTTGAACTGTATCTATTGCATATCCCTATTATACACACAGCACACACATGCAATTAAGGGCTAGCGCAGAATCAGCCAATGGTACAGCGCTCCTGGGGTAGTTTGGGGGGGTTGGTGTCTTGCTCAAGGTCACCTTGGTAGTGCTCTGGAGGTGAACTGACGATGCACACTCCATACTTGGTACATCCAGGGACTTGAACTGGTGACACACTGGTTCCCTAGCCAGGTCCCCACAGACTGATCTAGTGCCGCCCCCAATAATAATATAATAATTTGGGGGTAATGTACCTGGCTGGCAAATTTTTAGTTGGAATGAAACTCGGGTTGATGATATTTTAAATGTCTACTCACATTAGCATTTGACATTGTGTAGATGTTAACATCATGATGTTTTGTAGACTTTGGGTTTTGTTCTCCATACCTTACAAATAATGTTATTATTCTACATGTAGATGAGACGCCCTGAAGACGCTGGATTTTAGTAATTTAACACAACTTAAAGCCAACAATAATTAACATAATCTGTTGTCAGTATTCTATGTTAAGTTGATGCTGGCACTAGACATTGTCCTGACAGTCAGTATGTTGACAGGACATAAGAGAAAATCAGTTTATTGTGTTAGTCCGACTTAAACCAGGATGTTAAAATACATGTAAAAAAAACACTTTTCAAAGTTGGACTAACACACCCAGATAATGTGACTGGAAGTCAAATTATTCCTGCGTGTACACAGTCAAATGGACCCTAACCAGCCGAGGCCTTCTATGCATGCTACACAGTTTCTGCCCTGGGCTTTGACCCAGAAGTCAAATAGCATTAAATGCGTAACAGAAGAAGAAGAAGAAGCCCGTAACAACATGGCGAAATCTATATCCAGAGCTGTATATTTTTGGATGGATGAGGAGACAGTTAATTCTGTGTCAGTGCCAGTTTGCGACTAGCTAACCATAGATAACTTGTTTGTCTATTGTTTGGACAGTGATGTAATACTGGAAAAAGGTCCAATACTAATAAGCTGAAAGGAGGCATATCACCACCTATTGTAGTGGAGTCAGGCATACTTCGGTCAATAAATCAATTCCCCTCCTGTGTTTGTACACTGGGACAAGGACAGTGGTCCAATTAAATGGCCCAGTCATGTTATAACCGTAGCTCAACTTAACTGTGCATGTAAACGTTCTGACTGTTACTCTGAATTTTGATCACCTGGCTTCACAACCTAAATTCAACCAAATATTTTGCAGTCTTTGAATCTGTTCAAATATACTCTTGAGATATAAAATTATTTTTTAATAGTCATGATCATGGTCTTACAAGATGAGGCTACACTTGAGTTTGCTCTTAGATTTAAGACTACACCTGAATAACTTTGTCATTCTGTTTGTTAATCTGTACAAAAGGCTTTCAGTTTTCTTTGATTCCTTGGCATTGGAAGGTAAAATTTATAGAATGTGTTATGATGTTTTTTTTGTAGTAGGTTGTCAGTGTATAGTGCTTGCAAAGTCCTATTTCTTAGAAAGAGATAGTTGTGTATGTGTCGTGAGGAGGACACTCACACGTCTACCATCAGCTGTGTGTAATTTCACGACATGAAACTGGACCAGCTCTGATATATATTCCAGGATGGACGCAAACGTTGGCGTAGTCCTCTTGTTAAGCACCACAGTGTGTTTTACACTGGGGTCACCATTGCGAAAAACCAGCAGCTTCTTTGGAGTGTGCACAAGCACAGGCTCCTGCTTGTGAATGTTCCTGCCAGGGAAAAACCTGGCCTGCTGCACAGTCCGACGACGGGAACTAACAGGCCTGGCGTGGTACCAGGGCGGCAGCTTCTTCCTGGCCAGCGCCAGATTGATCGGTTTTACTTTACGGCTGTCAGAGCAGATGTAGGATTTGCCATCCTCCAGTTCATCCAAAGTGTAGACTGCATGAACCCCCCGCGGAGTGGTGATGTTTCTCACCCCAAACGGCAGGGGAACTTTCTTAGAGAGACTGTCCAAGAGTGCATCAAATGTTTTAAAGGTGCGGTTGTTGATGACCATGCGTAGGCCATTGAACTGAGGATCTCCACTTTTGTAAAAGCAGACTCTCTTTGATAGAATAGGGTCGATGATGCTTGGGTGGCGTAGGGTGCCAATGGTGTGCCCGCTCCCTGATGACTGGACAGGGAGGACCCTCCGAAACCCTGTCTCATTCATCATTGGTGATTAGCTGGAAGAAGAGAAGTAAAAAACATTAATTTAGTAGAAGCATAAGGGTTTCCCATTTTTTTCACTTCTCAGTTGAGAAAATATTGATTCTGATTTCTGATGGCAGAATTAACACATTCTCACTCCCAACTCCGAATTATGACGCAGGTACCCCTCTAGCATCAGTTTTGGAGGCTCAGGGACAGCGTTTCAATTCATGCTGACACTTGTTACCTGCATTTTGTTGTTTCAAAATACACTAAGAATGTATGGAAAAAAAACTTCTGCTTATGGTTTACTTCCTTGGGTTTAGGTAAAGTACGTGGTTAGGTTTAGAAAAAAAATTATGGTGTGGCTAAAATTAGTATGTTTGTTACTCACTTTATGTAACTTAATGTGGCATATGTCACATACAGTACCTGACACGTCACTAGAGTATTATTCTACACAAACAAGCATATTACATTATTAAATGAATCAAGAACAGCGGGCTCCCAGGTGAAAGTCCAAGTTTGTTTGACCAGCCTGCCCTATGAGCGATTTTCTTACTCTTTATACTACAGAAAAAAAATTATACCGACCGTTATGTGTCATATCGCTGCTCTCAAATGTGCCTTGGTGGTGGTTGGTATCTGATGCTAAGGGCCCCTGACCAAGCATCAGTTTTGACAAGTTGGGAGTGAGACCGGGTTGATAGAAAAGCTTTCTCCTCAGAATCAATAATGAGAAACTCCAAAAAGTTGTTTCTACACATAAAGCATTACACAGTTTTACAGTAAACAATGATTTTCACACATATATATCATCCATTTGTTTTCTTCAGTTTCTATTGATGCAGTATCAAAATATCACGAAAAAATAAAACATTGTTTTTCATGTTTCTTAGCATAAAATTGTCAAAAGAAACATCTGCACACAGACTTCTGCAACTGGGTCAACAAACAAACATAGCTTTAATGATTTGTGATGTATTAAACATCTGATGTGCATGTAAACAGCTGAATGACGTCTTCCAAACATATGTTGTTTACTTGTGGCCATCAGGTAAGTGACCTGACTTCTTGGAAGCCTGCCACGTGAATGGATTCTTCCATTATTTGATTACTGGGTTTTAACAGCACAGTGGAGCACTTAGCAAGTGATACAGAAGTGTTTGACAGATCTTTCTCTTTTACCAGCATTTCTTTTACCATAATTAATAGGTTATGACAATAATATTACACCACATTGCAGTATTATGTTTTTAATATAGAAATAATCCAAAAATATGTTATCATTTATCATGTCCAGAAACCCTATCTTGTATCACATAACTCATTAATGTCTCATAACTCCTCAAATCAAGTAACCAAAAGTTTTTGAATATTGAATTACTAAGATCTTGTACATTTTATATGATAAATTAACATTACATTTACATTTTTTATCAATTGTATTAAAAGCATATGTGATAATACATTTTAAAAGTTGCTTAGTAGTCAGTATAGTTTTAGTAGTAGAAGTTTTTCTTATTAGACCAACACAAGATTATTTTTTCATTTTCAGGAAGAAATACTTGCAGCAATTGTTGGAAACAAAATCAAAACAAGATCTGGTTAAAGTGTATGGTCATGATGTTTCTACTGCTGCAAGTGTAACATGTAAGAACAGATTGTAACTGGAGGCAGCAAACAAACAAATAAATACACAAAAATAACAGGATTTTAAAGTAAACTCACCTGCGTCAGCATCATGAAATTCCCAAGCGATCCATGAAATGTTATTCCGTGCTCTACATGATGACTGCTGTTCAACTGACTGCACAGCAACAGTTTATTTCTGGAGACACCATCCCGGTTAATTTGCTTAATCTTTGCACAAAGTTAATCTCCGCAGCAAGTGCATTGCTAGGAAATCCTCTTCAGAAAGGTGTGTCACACAGATGCACGTAGAGCTTTCATGGCAGGCTGAGGAGGTGGACTAAGAGCCTGAGATTGATTCATTATAATGTTAAACAGGCCTGAAACACATTTCTGTATTGTCAGTTGGGATTATTTTGCTTAAACAAAACTGTTTTAAAACAAAAAATAATCCCACAAATTCACTCTTACAAGTTTGACAGTGATTTAGACCAGTTACATTACATCACAACAGAGAATATTTTAATGTTTTCATATTTGTGTTTTTGCTCTTATTTGAGACGTAAAGGCCTAAGAGCACAAGGCTGCACCTGCAGAGGGTTATGGGAACTAGAAGAAGAGCAGGGTTTTCTCCACCAGTGACAGCAGATGGTAAATTGGTGTCCGGTTGTAATATTCGTGCGGGGTTGTAATCTCATTGAGGACCTCTTTAGATAATAAGGATTAAGGAGCTCTCCATCGCAGGACCCTCAGAGAAGCACACTTGCTTTGAATGAAAAGAACATTCACTTTAATGCCTCTTAATAATGAGAAATAAGATTACTAATAAGGTTTGTATTTGACCCTGTGTGATCTGAACGCATACAGTGCATTTTAGTATAAGATAATACATTTAAAAATAACATGGATGTTCCTTTAACCCTCTGAACCCAAAGACTTGATTTTAGTGAGTCCCAATCACAGCATACAAACTAACATTTGTCTCTGTATATATCAGAATATAACCTGATAATAACCTGAGCTGCTGGCAATTGGCTCCATGTATGTTCAATCAGGCCTTGATGACTGACAAGGTGCACCTGCAGAGTAACCCACATAAAGGGTGACTCATCATGCATGCCTCATTTTGCACTGAGGAAAGTCCAACGTAGACTGAAACGTTTCCACTTTTGCACATATTTTCCACTGTCTGTAGCCTAAAGATGTAAGAGGAGGTGTTTGAAAATCCAGACTGGTCTGAATCTCTTTTGTTCTCATGTGCAGTCCCCCACTGCTACATTATACCTTTTCCCTGACTACTCCACAAGAGAGGAGGACTAACAAAGGACAGTTCTTTAAGGTGCGGCTCACCCTTGTGAACTGCTTACAAAATAAAGTCCATAGTTTTATTTTTTTTATTGGCATAAATTCAGCACAGTAAAAAACAAATTAATTTAACTAGTTAAAATTGAAATTACAATCCATGTAAAAAAGAATTGTAATAAAAAATGTTAGAAAATGACTTGTCACTGGAATTTTTTTACCTTACATAATATGAATTTCATTACGTAACTCCTCCACAGTTTCTCCATATTTAAGTAGGAGAAAATTCAGTTTGAGTGATATCATGACTCAATGATGAGGCCTTTTGTGTGAATAAGTGATGAATTCCAGTGATGAAGTCCAGTGTTGCTTTTTTGCAACATTGACGCCAGTTCTTTTAAATTATATGTTATACTGTTTTTTGTTATACTGTCAAGTTTTCTATCACTAAACTTCTTAAGAATTAAGGAAAAAAATATTACAGGTCAGATACTTACTCATAAATTAAATTGTTGAAACTGGTAAAAAAAAAAAAAAAAAAAATTGAATAAAAAACAATGCAAAATTAAAGTGAAATATCCTAATTCAAATAAAGTGCAAAAACAATAAATTTACAGAATTTTTCATGGAAGGTTTTGCATAGAAACACTGTTATTTTACATGTTTTTCCAAAATTATTACAATCAAACACCTTCAATATAGTGATGTGACTAAAAGTCCCCCCCCCCCCCAAAAAAAAATAAAAAATACGATTTTACAGATCACATTTACAGTTATTACTACCAGATACCTTCAGACTGGCTGTCGAACAAACAAAAGTAAAATATCCTGTTACAAATTAAGTGCAGAACAATTAATCCACAGAAGCTCTCATTAAAGGTTTTGCAGAGTGGGGTCAGGTGGAGACAGCTATGTTGTTTGAACTTTAAATGTGGTCTGTCTTATGTCTTACAGTTTAACAATTTTCCTGCCAACAATGCTGTTAATATAAAGTTTAGAGTCTAGGGTGTTGGGATATGTAGTGTTTGTCTACATTAGGTCAGGAATAGATGGGCCCACTATCAGACAGTTTCAAATAGATGTTGCAGTCTCACAGCTGAGGGCTTCCACGGGTTAATAGCAAACACAAGTGGAGACGTTTATAGTTCTCACAGAAATATACATCTAACAAAAGAGTGCATATTCTAGAAATACAATTAAGTTTAGCAGGGTAGTGGAGTCCAGTAGATTAGGTTGAACCGTATTACTGAGGGCATTAGCCGGTCATGTATATGCTTAACCGTGAACTATCTCGAGTTGCATAACAGTTACCAAAACTGGACTGAAGTGAGTCTATTCCTGTAGTGAAAGGGATTAGCTGACAAGGGATGACTTCATGCCACAGTAAACCTGGGGCTGAAGTCAAGGAATCAAAGGAGTATACAAAAGTTATCAGGTTTCAGCTCAGTATAAAAGGATAAAGTGATGACACTCGTGTTCTGTTTAGTTTACTGCTGTAAAAATATCCCAGGTGTGTTTGAAAGGGACGATATGTGCTGTAGGAAAGAATTCCAGCTGAGCCTGACCAGACGTAGATTCAGGAATGCCACAGGAGGCTCCCATGTGCCGAGCCCATGACCTGTTCCCAAAACAACAACGAGCACAAAAATGTGAAAAATCCTTCAAAGGAAGCTGGGGGGGGGGGGGGGGACAATGGAGGAAGCCCTCAGAGTAAACAGGTAGGCCTGAAGCCTGAATGCCCCTCATTCCAGCCCTCCACTCCAGAGATAAGAGACAAGCAAATGTTGAAACCAAAGCGGGTAAAAACGGCTGGCCGCACTGATACAGCAGCACAGATCCTGCCAAACATACTCGAATCAGTCTGAAAATAGGCCTGCGCCGAAGCTCTGCACTCAAAGCAACATGGCAGGTAATAGCAACAAATGTCTGAAGCTCCATTTGTCACATAACCTTCCACGTCACAGAGTTATAATGAACCAGCTGGTGATATGAATACTGTTATTTTCCCTTCACATGATTACACGTGAAATCACACGCCGCCATGACAGAGATATCTGTCTCTGCGTTCCGGGTGTATTGCCACCCCTGCCATACGCTATTTTTAAGTCCTTGCGCCTATACTGCAACTAATTGGCGCCAAGTTAGATTCAAACCTATGCTGTTAATGGGAAAAAATGTGTGATATGTTTTGGCCCTTGTCCCCTTTCTATATTTGGCCCAGCGTCCTCTATGCAGCTGCTCCTCCAGATCTGTCTGCCTGTGTTCCCATCAAACACCTCTCTTCAGTCTGCATATATTACCTCAATTCAAGGGGCAAAGAGTGCTGCTGCTTAAAGGGCAGAAAACACAGTGGAGGCTACATAGAAAATAACAGCAGTTTGCTCTGATGTGGCGCCACGTTTAGCCTCTTTGCTGTCATTTGAAATAAAATGCCCAGCTCGTTTTGTCGCCCTTGTAAGAACTGGTTAAAATTCCAAGCGTTGCAGCTGTCAGGAATTCAATTAGAAGTGATACAGCTGCACTTTGACCAACAGCAGTTTAAAACATTCACTTTAATTAAAAGCAAAGCAGCTGATCCTGCAAAAAATGATCTCTTTGAAACTTTTCTTGCACCCAGAATCTCAATTCTTTAATAATTATTGATACAATAATGTTGATAAATTCCATTTTTCCTTTGAGGGCTGTTTAATGTGAGCTAAAAAAAAAAAAGAAAAAGAAAAACTTGGCAGGCGTTGAGCCAAAAATATGCTTACTATTCAAAATTCCATTCAAGTAACATGCCATATCTCTTTTCCCCTGTTAACTTCCACTGGAATTCCCAGATTTTGAATGAATCCCTGCCAAACAGGACTCACACTGTAAGGTCACACCACCGCCCGTCCCCTCCCCTCCAAAACCCCTCGCACAGCAGTCAAGAGGTCCCCACCCCATCCATTTTGAGCCCTCCGTATCAGCTGTGCCAAGCTTTTAATCTGCCTGGTGACATCCCAGTGTTTCCTGCATGGGACAGAGGGAAAGATAAGCACGCTTCTCTGTGCGGTAAATCACTCCGCACTCCCACTCGTTCACTGATATGACCATTATTCAATTAGGCTGCGCTCAAACTGACCACAATTCTTAGTAATTACAATCAGAGGCTTGGTGATTGTTTTCACATATTTTCTTAATCTCTTTCTTCCCTTAACATCATCTGCTTTCTTTGTTAAAGGACAAATAAAACAATGTTACTGCCAGGAAAGACAGTAACACCTTCTGAAGTGTTGTAGGTTAGTGTATGGGGCATACTTTATTAAAGTAAAAGTCCTCTGCAATTTAAGAAACAAGAATGCAGTGATATGACATAAAGAAAAAAGTGTTTACTCCTAAACTACATTTATTTACTAAAAAGTCACAGCTTGTCAACCCCTCACTATCTAAGTCTTTGTTTACACAACATGTTTAGGTTATAGGCCTATAGTGATGCAGGAATAAGTTCCAAAACCCAGAAATGAGTTAGCATTTTAGCACTCACGGTTCCCTCCTCTCAGAGTCAATGTTTCTTTGGTTAGCCCCCTGAAATAAGGTATGTGGTAAACACAAGCTCAAGAGACTTTAACATTTTGTTCTATGAAATGAAGTACGTCATTAAATACCCCAATCCTGAATTTTGAAGCCTTTAAATGTCTTTAAAAAAGCGGTGGTCCACCAACCATTTAAAAATAAGGTATTCAAGCTGATTTTCTTGCACTTCGACATCAAAATATGGAGCTTGGGGAGTGACTTTTAAGTGTGTCCTTTAAGTGCGTCCTTTAATGTCAGCATGATATAAGGTCTGTTGCCGTTATAGTTTAGCAGCGGCCGGCAGCGTCAGAGGGAAACGCAATGGGAAGAGGA